TAACTTGGAACCCACACTACGGACGAAGGGCGAAGGTGCAACCTGCATACATAGGAGCTGCCGATGTCACTCGTTTGGACTTGCAATGTGCGCGCTGGTGAGTTCATGTGTGTGCCCTCGCGTCCTCCAACATTCGCCATTCGTTTTCCGCTGACATCTATGTGTGTAATGCAGCAAGGCCGGTCCTCTTGACGACAATACGTTTCGCGTCTCCCGAGTCTCTCGTTCATTACTATGCCGAACAACGCTCGCACACGGCGGGCAACGAGCTTGTGACTTGGACGGAAATGTTGAACTTGCAGGACCGGGCGCCACTTACTGTGAATATGCTCTAGCCACCTCAAATGCCAATATGGCCATGCGGCGATGTTAGTCCAGCTCAACATCACAGAACACTCCTGTATCCCCTCGTCGTCCTCTCCGTCAACATATACGACGGAAACTGAGTGGTCCTTGACTCGACCATACTCTCTATAATACGTCATGATATCATCAATTAACGGTCGTGGTATCCCCGCGCACGCACGTCGTATGGTCGAGCCACATTCGGAACTACAGCAACTAGCAACTTGTTTAAGCGAGTGGTGTTCGGAAGGGACAAGAGTCACATCTAGAGACTGGATTTAGGAACTCAAGAGGCGAGTACTTCTCCTTCCCGACCGCGGCCATCGTGTTCTGCATGTCACTCCGCAAACGATCATATCTTGCTCCTCACCTCTTCGTATCCCGCTGACAATATGCGCTCAAGTCACCATGATGATCCTCGCTTCAGGAAGGTACCTTATTCTGCTCTTCCTTTCGTGCATATGTTTGGCTCAACATTCTGTTCTTGGATAAGCGGCCCTATAGCAACACGTCGTAAGGTGTGTCACTCCCGTTTGTCTTCAACTGACTGTTGCTTTCTCGTGGATGCAATACGTCACGTCCCACCGTGTGTAGTTTCATCTGACTTCAACCAGCTCACATCTTCACCGGCAGGTCTGAGAAGGCGACAATCTTGTTTCTAAACAGCCTGGTGCAAACACTTGAGTATAGTCCGAAGCATACAAACAAAGAAGGCATGCGTACACTTGCCTGCCCTGCCATCACCTACATCATTTCCAATGTTGGATCCAGCATCTTTGGGCATCTGTGTTTTGAACCGCAAATCGCCATTGGTACACATTTATCGCCAATCGGGATGGCGGCGTCTTTCTTTGCTCGTCCCGTTTTAGAACGATCCTCCTTCACGACCATGCACTGCCTATAGCTTGTCTCTTACCTCAATATATACGAGCTCATAGCGCTGCCCGCATCTGGTTCTCCCCCCCAGCGTTTCTGGGCCTCATGGCTGGCCTAAGGGGCTGCAATATTCGCTATGCATTTTTGTACTGGGGAGTTATCGAACTATCTCGTGGAGAAGGACCTGAATCCGGTGGTCTTCGAGTCATGGTTTCCACATATTGAACAAGGCAGAGCCCCCACATCGCAGCGCTCATGGACTCGGAGCACGCATGCTCGGCTTTCCATATGTGCACTCAGCTTCTGTGCCTTGTCTTCGGACGTCGCAACACACTCTGTATGTAGTTACCTGATTTACTCGCGTCGTTGTGCCCAGCAACGTCAGAGTGCCGGTCTGTCAGCGCACAGTGCCTTTGTTGAAGACATTGTAGTTTTATTCCTCACCTGTACAGATTGGATTAACTCCATGCTTGTTTGACACGGTGCACGTCTATATTTGCTTTCTCGTACGATGCCTTCTTCATCGCGGCGTGCATACGAGCGCGATGCCTCAACATACGGCGGACGCCTTGCACTAACCGCGCCAATTGCAAGTCACCAATCCAAGGTTTTCGAGGCTCCTCCAACTACCTGCTATGGCTGGCGGTAGGGCTCTCAACAGGTGCTCCCTTTAGCGTGTAGTGCTGTCGTGTTTAGCTCTGGTCTATGAGGACACGCGCGG